TGAAACATTTACTTAAAGCCAGAGTCACTTATGTTTTAAATACCAATGCCTATTACATGGTTCTTTCTGTAAGCATCTCTGACCCCTGCCCTCAATTTCATCAAGCATTGTAAAAAATATGCCACTACCTCTAAGAGGACTCATGCCATGGGTTTAGGCTTAAGTTGTTGCCTGGCACCTTGGACAACTGAACAATCCTAGCCTACCATTGCATGGGTCTTTGCACACAGTAAGCAAGATCCACAAACAAATATTTATTGGGCATACACTGTTTTCAAGGCACCATTGATGTGGTGAGAGTTGGAATACTCAGGAGGCCAAAGTGAGCTCAACTTCACTGTGTGGGAAATGCTACAGGAAAAATGTCTTATCCCAAAGGATGGTCTCATTACTTCTAAGTTAGTTATTACTCCCCCCACCCGAGTTATATACAGAGATAAAGCCCAGAAAAATCTAAGCATTTCCCCATATCAGGCAGTTTGAGAAACATGGATTTTCATTCAGTTCCAATGAGCAGGGGTTGTCTAATAGTTTCTTCCAGGTGCTCCCCTATGGTTCAGGAGTCAATAGTTTGTTAGTTGAGGTCCTAGAACCTGATCAGTATCCATCTACTATTTATTGATGAATTTATGAATGAACAGATGAGCAATGTCTACTTTCCTTCCCAACATGATAATCCATGATTGTTAAGGATTATCCTTTCCTTCTCCCAGTTTACTTCTCTTTTTTACTTTTACTGTTCATTGAGAATATGTTCATTTATCACTAATTATTTGCTGAAATACATTCTTCCTAATTTTTTTTTCTGGCTCAAATGTTATCTGTCTGTCAAGACTCGGCAGGGGACCCATATCTTCCTGCCCCTGAACTCTGTGCAGGTTTTCCTCTCTACTTTGCCTTTTCTCTGAAGTCATAACCATCAAGGTTGAATGTGCATATGAACATAGATGGAGGTTCTTTATATGTTTTGAATGATGTGCAACTCATTTTCCATGTAGGTTATGGCATCTTTGGAACAGGGATCTATCCTTCTTATCTCTTCCAAAATACCCACCCACCCCTTGGCTACACAGGATGTACTAAAAGCCTAGTGACTTGACATGGTCTTAAAAAAATGAATCCTAAATGGATTCGGCAGTTATTTTGTGTAAGACAAGGCAGAAGAATCACACAATGATTGACTTTTCAGTCTGTCGCTGTCACTGTAATCTTTGTGACCACCTGAGGGAATGTGATCATGAAGACCCCATTAGATTATCTCTGCTGTCCCCTGAGGTCTTCCTTAACCACCAGGTTACTATTGGCAGCCCTCTCTCATAGGACATTGGGATTGGGAGGCTTCAGTAGGTTCTATATTTTCTGGTACAACCCCATGCCTAGTGGCTCAATATTATGCTTCTTTGTTACTATCTCTGGGGTCCCCTTAATTGGGACACCTTAATGGGGGATCCCTTGATGTTGGAGCTGGAGATGGTGTCTTGCTACCTTTACTCCCTATTTTCATGCTTCCTGGGCATTTTTCTGAGTGAGGTTCACCAGCCTGGAAGTACATCCTGTGCTTTCCCCCATTACCTGCAGGATATTTCACCTGAGGCTTACCTTAGGAGGCCTTTCAATCTTACTTGGCCAAAAATCTTTTTGGCAATTGGTGGACTTGGTTGGATTCCATCTGTCCCTTTCGTTTTCAGGATGTGCCCACATTATTGATTTGTGTGCCAGGCCTGTGATTTCCCTGGGTCTCCCCACCCTTGCTCCCCTCACCATGTGTGCATACTGTGGCAAGAAAAGGCAACCTGGAAACATACTTGACCCTTTAAAACATTTTTTTTTAATTTACTTTTATTTGCAAATAAGATTATAATAAAAAATTTCATTATAAAAGTTATGAGTAATAGAGATGTGATAGCCAGGTTTGAAAGTCTCTATATTAGGTAGCATATGATAGAAAACCAAAATAATAGTGACTTAAAATGAAAATTGAGTTTCTTAAAAAAAAAAAGAGTGGAGTTCCCCAGAGGCAGCAGGCAGCTGGCCAATGTTCTTAGTTAGCTTCATGAAGTCAATGGATACAAAGCTTCTTCTGGCTTCTGTGCCTTATGTCTTTCTATACCACCATTCTTAGCTGTGGCCTTCAATTTCTAAGTTGTTTTCATGATTTGATGTAACCATGGCATTCCATTCATATTATCCACATCCCAAGCAGGAAGGAGGAAGAAGCAGAAATGAAAAAGTACATACTCTTTATAGCACATACCTCTCCCTGGCTGCAATGCAGGGAATGTAACCTTCCATCTGGGTGCAGTGCCACCCAGAGTAAAATCAGGGTTCTGTTACCAAGGAAGAGGGATGAGTGGATAAGGTCTAAGCAAAGTACTCTTTGTCACATTCTCCTCACTTTGTACTCCATAGAAAAGCTCTCCTTGCCCTGTTTAGGTGTATGCTTCTTGACTCCATTTCAAATTGTGCAGCGGCTCAGTTTTACATGTTTTTGCACATGAACTAGTGTTTGTGGATGATTCCTTCTTCAAGGTAGATTTTTTGGATCAAAGGGTATGCTCATAGCTTAGCTCTCTACAAAGAATGCTCACCAGGTGTCTTGGATTTTTTCCTTCTAGAATAGTGGTGACAATGAGCATAGATTTTGGAACCAGACACACAGGGTATGAACACTCATTCTGACACCTTGTAGTGGTGTGACTTTGGCCACGTTACTTAACCTGTCTCCATACTTGACCCCTGTAAAATGGGGAAGGGGATATCATCTGTTTCTGTAGGGGCTCTATCACAACAAGATGAGACTGTGACTTCCAAGCACTTACAGAAGAGCCCACAATAAATGATAAGCAGGGGCTTCTGCTCATGGAGAAGGGGTGTCTCTGTGTATACACACACATATACACAAATATATACATTCACATACATATACATATGTCTCTATATAAAGAAGAATGAAACACAAAGGTGGGCCTTGAACATTAAATATAGGGTCCCTGAGTTGTAGACATCAGATAGGAAAGCAATAGATATCTAATTCATAGACTGAAAAAATAATAACAACGACAACAACAATACTACTACTACTACCACTGCCACCCCAGGGGCAGGTGTATAAGTTAATTGATGGTTAGAAAAATCCCATTATGACTCTTCAGTTACATTTCTTTAGTACATCAGATGCTTTGGTTGTAGAACTTGACAAAAATCAACATAAATGTTCTTTTTCTCCCCAAGTATATTGAACATTGCACAGATGTGTAGTTAAGTATTTATCATGAACATGCAAATATTGATGTCCCCAAGGCCCATTCTTTGATTTTCAAACTGCTGTTGCTATATTTGGAATTGTTGATTAATACAGGTCTTTGCTCTGACACACAGCATGTCTGACTTCATGGCCTCTGAGAATAGCATCACGAAGAAAGGAGAAGCCATGGTTTGATAGTCATAGGGGTGGACAATATTTGAGGGTGGAAATTACTTTGGGAAAATGATGGTAGGCAAGCAAATGCATGAGGGTGTTAACTATGTGCCTACCCCAGAGTTATACGCATGGTAGATTCTCAGTAAATCTTTGCTTCTTTCATTATAAGAGACAGAAACTATGAAGAAGAAGCAACCATAATGAAAAGATTATTTCACACTAGTCTAGAATAACATTTCTCAGTGTTTGCACTGTTGACATTTTGGCCCACGTAGTTGTTGTGGTGCCATCCTGTACATTGTAGGATATTCGGCAGCATCCTTGAACTCTACCCAGTGGGTGCCAGTAGAATGGCCCTCCCCAATTTGTGATCACAACAACAACAAAAGTCTCTAGATATCACTAAATTTCTGGGAGGAGGTGGCAGAGTCACCTCCAATTTGAAAACACTGGCCCGGAAGAAAAGAAAATATGCTTATACCTATTAAACAATAAGTAAGTATGTGCGAGGCTATCCTTGCAGTAATCCTGGGCTGCTGGTAATTTTTTTTTTTTTTTTTTTTTCAGAAAGGAGAGGGGATTCAAAGAACATGGCCCTAGGTTGGACTGGTTTGGTCTAACTTCCAATGTGACGTTCTTTTCCTTGTGTTCCTCTCCCTCCAAACCATCTAACTTTAAAAGTACCACATGGGTGTGTACTGTTCCCCTTCTCAGTGCTGAAGGTTCAGACTTCACCTTCTTATAAAGAATGCTGCCAAATGCACTGTTTACGAAGAATCATGGGTAACCTACATTTGGATCATTGATTTGACTGCGTTTGTGTTTTGCTGAAAATGTGAACTGGGCTATTCCCAGTGGGGGACCCTAAACAAAGAGATGTGTAGTCTTAGCATTTAACAGGTTGAAAAACTCCACGGAGGACTCAAAATAGATCCCAGAGGAGTTTCTCTGGACATGGAGCTACCCAAGAGCTGTTTGCCTATATGATCCTCTTATAGTTAATTTAGCAGCCTTCAAGCCTTGGTTCCAACAGAAGGGGTTCATTTTGAACTAGGAGTGCTGACTCTGTGAGACATAGTGGGGGCTCAGGGCCCCTCACTTTTCACATTTTGGTGATAACTCTGGCCCTTAGGGGATAAGTTTGAGGTCTGCTGCTAATTGTTTGAATTTATGTAGTAGTAAAACTCATAACCTCCTACATGAAAAGATTGTTCTAGATTGTTTTCTTGACAGATTTGGGATGGGGTTGGAGGGTCAGGAAAAGAAGGGATGAAATTGTTAATTCCACTCCCAGTTTTATCAAGAGAATATAAACCAATAAAAGAACTAAATGTTGGTAATCTATAAAATTCTGTAAGTGGTAATAAAGAAAAACTGAAACTATATTGATATATAACCAAACAAGGTAATTATCATTATTTTTTAATAAAGCCATTTATCATCAATAAATACCAAGGGGAATAGGAAAAATTACAAGCACAACAATGCCATCTTCCATAATTATAGCTATTAACAATTTAAAGCATAATTATGTGAGGGAGAAAAAACTTTAAGGAAAGCTGTGTTCTGTTTCCTGCAGAGAGAAGAAACATTCTCACTTTCCCAAGTATTCAGGATTCTCTAAATGTTCTGAGTGAGTAGCTTCTTTTCTAATGGTCTTTAATTTGGGTCCCTGCTGTCTTTTCAAGTTGGCCATCATCCCTGGAGGAAGGGCTGGGACCAGGACAATGAAACATATGGCAGTTAGCTGTCTATTTCCTTAAGGCCATTAGTCTGGAGGACTTTGTTTAGCAGAAAGAGGACCCAGGGTTTGATTTGGGGGACCCAGGGTTGTGTTGGTCAGCTTTGCATTGGTGTGACCAAAATACCCAATAAGAACAACTTAGAACAGAAGTTTATTTGGGCTCACAAGTTCAGAGGTTCAGTCCATGGCTGGTCCAGTCCATTGCTCTGGGCCTATGGTGAGGCACAGCATCATGGCCAAAGGACCCAGTTGAGGAAAGCTGCTCAGCTCATGGAGGGGTCAGAAAGCAGTGTAGGGTGGGTCACGGGAAAGAACAGGCCTTCGAGGGTTCACCCATCTCTTCTAGCCATGCTTCATCTTACAATTATCACCCATTAAACTAGGATGGGCTGATTAGGTTACTGTTGTCATAATCCAGTCATTTTATACAATCAATCAACAAGTACATGAAAAAATGCTCACCATCTCTAGCAGTCAGAGAAATGCAAATCAAAACCACCCTAAGATACCATCTCACTCCAGTTAGATTGGCAGCCATTATGAAGTCAAACAACAACAAGTGCTGGCGAGGATGTGGGGAAAAGGGTACACTTGTACATTGCTGGTGGGACTGCAAATTGGTGCAGCCAATTTGGAAAGCAGTATGGAGATTTCTTGGAAAGCTGGGAATGGAGCCACCATTTGACCCAGCTATTCCCCTTCTCGGTCTATTCCCTAAAGACCTAAAAAGAGCATGCTACAGGGACACTGCTACATCGATGTTCATAGCAGCACAATTCACAATAGCTAGACTGTGGAACCAACCTAGATGCCCTTCAATGGATCAATGGATTAAAAAAATGTGGCATTTATACACAATGGAGTATTACTCTGCATTAAAAAATGACAAAATCATAGAATTTACAGGGAAATGGATGGCATTAGAGCAGATTATGCTAAGTGAAGCTAGCCAATCCCTAAAAAACAAATGCCAAATGTCTTCTTTGATATAAGGAGAGTAACTAAGAACAGAGTAGGGTCGAAGAGCATGAGAAGAAGATTAACATTAAACAGGGATGAGAGGTGGGAGGGAAAGGGAGAGAGAAGGGAAATTGCATGGAAATGGAAGGAGACCCTCAGAGTTATACAAAAGTACATACAAGAGGAAGTGAGGGGAAGGGGAAAAATAATACAAGGGGGACAAATGAATGTCAGTAGAGGGGGCAGAGAGAGAAGAGGGGAGGGGAGGGGAGGGGAGGGGGGATAGTAGAGGATAGGAAAGGCAGCAGAACACAACAGACACGAGTATGGCAATATGTAAATCAATGCATGTGTAACTGATGTGATTCTGCAATCTGTATATGGGGTAAAAATGGGAGCTCATAACCCACTTGAATCAAAGTGTGAAATATGATATATCAAGAACTATGTAATGTTTTGAACAGCCAACAATAAAAAATTAAAAAAAAAAGAAAAACATGCAAACAAGCTTAGGAAGCAACAGTAATGCCAAGTAAGGAAAATTGTTAGAAGCAGAGTAGTAGATCAGGTTATGACTTGTGCATAGTTGTTGCATGATGATGAGTGGAGGTAAAGACAAATTATTTAGAGCACAAGCAGATCAGGAAGAATGTGAGGGTACTGAGGACAGACCTGGCATTGGGAAGGCCTTCATCACCCTGAGCTACTTTCAGGTTTTCCTGAACTGCAAAGTCACTAAGGTCTCCAAGGATCAAGACACAGAAGGCATCTTAACTTAGGCAGAGGTACTATTATGAGGTTACAGCAAACTTCAATCCAAAGGATTTTAAATATTTCAAGTGGCCAATCCAAGGAAATGGCACTATGCTAGTAAAAGTCGAATAACCAGGTCTAGTTGAGAAAAGATTTTTTCATTTGCAGCCAACTGCTTGTTTCTGTGGTTGTAAATATTCCCACCATGGACAATTTCAAACCATCCATATAATGTCATTAAACGCAGAGTTGGGAAGAAAAAAAAAATAATAATCCAGTCATTTTACTTCTGAACATTTCTGCATTAACACAAGAGCTTTGGGGGCAACATGTCATATCCAGACCATAATAAGGGTCTTATTTATTTCAATTCCAATTACTATACAGCTACTATTGCCCAGATGCTTAGGTTTCAGGCTTTCTTGGGGGTACAAAAAAGGAATGAGATGCTGTTTTTCTTTTTCTTCTTTTAAAAACCTGTACTCCCCAAGGGGACAGACCTGTGTGCTCTCACCATTGCATAGCATAGTTTTAAGAGTATACCTCCAGGCCTACTTGCGAGTCTGGGGTCAAATTCCAAGCTCTGCTGCTTACCACCTGTGGGAGCTTATGCAAAATAATTAATCTCCATTTGCCTCAGTGTTCTTTCCTGTGAAATAAAGAAAATATTAGTACTGCCTAGAGGTTATTATGAGGACTCAAAGAGTGAATAGAATAGTGTTTTGAGACCTGCCTGGAGGCTGGTGAGAGCTAGGTAAGTTAGTGGTCATTTAAGTACTGTGACTTGGAACTTTGGCCCAGTAGCAGCAATTGGAGAGTTTATTCGTTTGGGCCTGGTTCAAGAGCAGTACAATTCCCTTTGCCTGGTGGTCTCAGAAATTTCTGTAGATAAGTTAGTGACTGCACTGAGTCTCAGAGGGTGAGAGCAATAGTGGAGGAATTCCAACATGGAAGCCACAGAGCAAGAACATGGAATCCAGAAACAGCAGGATATGCTTGGGTAATTATAGGCTGTGTTCTGTCTACTTAGAGCCTGACTTTGAACCCACATTAGAGAGAGATGAGTTGGTACAGTCTGGGTCACTGAGGATGGGAGGACCCTATTAAAGGATATTGAATGTGAAATTGATGAGTAGTCAGATTTACAGACTAGATCCATCATGAAAGCAGTGTTCTGGGCTGCTCTGACAAGTGAAATGGGTGCTAAAGGGAAAAGTTAGAGGCAACTTTTGGAATTTTTATGATTAGAACTTCTACCCAGTAGGGTACTATTTCAGTGGGGTTATGCATGTTGAAAATAAACACCCAGACTTACTGATTCTCTGTTTAATTGTAGTAGCCATTAGTGCTATTTGGCAAATATCCCAGTTCTCCTCCATTTTCAGGGACATTTAAAAACGAATGGTAGGATTGTGAGTGAGGTTTTGTGAGTAGTTCTGGCCCAAAAGTTATGAGGAAAAGTAATGTGTTACCTTAGAGCCAAATCATTTGATCGCTGGTGAAAGATCCTAGAACTTGCTCTTTTTCCCTGGCCACAGGTACCAGTATCATTGTAGACAGAATTGGCTGCATCAACTAGATCCTGTTCCCAGATGATGCTCAGTTAACATGGAGCATGGGTGAGAAATAAACCTTTGTGGTTTTAACCCAGGGGTCAACAAATGTTTTCTATAAAGGACCTATAGACAATATTTTAGACTTTAGTTTATGGACCATGCAGTCTCTGTTGTAATTCCTCAACTCTGTCCTTCTAATGGCAAAACAGTTGTAAAAATATATGTGAACAAAAGGCATGGATATGTTCCAGTAAAGTTTATGCAGAAAATCAGGCAGCAGGCTACATTCAGCTAGCAGATTCTGTTTGGCTAGCAGACTCACTCCTGCTTAATTAAGTTTCTAAGTTTTGGGGCTGTTTGTTACAGTGTATACAGTGCATTCAGACTCTCCCTGACTGATACTTTACCAACTATTCTTTTTAAATTGAGGTAAAATTTGCACAGATCTTGTGTGGGCTGTTTGGTGATTATAATTAATGTATATGGGATGTAACCACACTTTAGTCAAGATATTGAATATTTCATTTCAGAAACTTCCCTTTGCACCTTCGTAGATGATCCCCACAGGCAGCAATTATTCTTGGACTTCATTTAATTGGGATCATGTATTGTGCACTCTTTTGTATATTTTTTATTTCATTTATTTCTGAGATTCACCAGTGTTATACCTATCCAAAGTACAAATACATAATAATTTGTTTATTGTTGATGGGAATGTGGCTTGATTATCATTTTTGGTACTATGAGAGTCATGTGAAACATTTTATTTTTGTAGATCTAGTTTTTTGTTGTTGTTGTTGTTGGATTTTTGTTTGTTTGTTTGTTTGTGGTTTTTTTTGTTTTTTTTTTTTAGGAAAAATACCCAGAAGTGTAATTGCCAGCTTTTGGGGTAAATGTAGGTTAGATTAATCCTAACTGATGAGCCACCATCCAGTGGTTGTGCTCTTAATGCTTTCACCAGCAATGTTGACAGCACTGCTCTGTGTCTCTCCAACATTCACTGCATAAGTGTCTTTCCAACTGCATAAGTTCTAGTAGATGCAAAATAGTATCTCACTGTGGTATGGTCTGTATTTTCCTGATAACCACTAATGCTGAGCATCTGTTCATGAGTTTTCTGGACATTTGTATATTATGTTTAGTGAACTGGCTGTTGTATTTTGGCCATTTAAAAATTGAGTTGTCTTTCTTTATTATTGATTTCTATATACCTACATCTGTATATTTATTTCAAATATTTCTTTCAGTCTTACAGTTGCCCTTTGATTTTCTTAGTGGTGTTTTTTGATAGGCAGAAGGTTTTATTTTGTTAAGTTTACTACTTAAAAACACTTTACTTCCTTTTTTATTATGGTTTTCTGTGTTCTAAGAAAAGTTCAACTTCCTTCAAGGTTGTGATGTATTCTATGCTTTCTGTTAGAATCTAGCATTTTAGCTATTATGTTTGGTGTTTGGTCCCTGTGGAATTAATGTGTTAAGAGATAAGGTTAATTCTTTTTCCATGTGTTTTACTTAGTTTTCTAGTCCCAAATTTTCTTTTAAACTCTTTTTTTTCCCCTCTCTTCAGTGATTTTGGAAATTTTATAAAAAATGAATTGGCTTTAAATGTGGTCTATTTTT